CCTAGAGAACAACTCACATGAAATTAAATTTCTACTATGAGGCAGAAGGGAAAGATATAATACAGAATGAAAAGAATCATGGATTATATATCTGGTAAGGCTATGATGAAAGAAATCTGAAAGTAAAGTCCATTAGCAAACATCCCTTTGAAGTATGGCTACAGAAAATGTTCTGAGGAGGAAAAAAATGAGAACAGAAAGAAGTCTTGGAAATTCAGAAGGAAATAAGAACATTGCAATGGGTAAAATAGAAGGGTAAATAAAGGACTTTTTTCATGGGTTCTTTAAATCGTATTTGATATTGGAAGCCACATCTGTAACATCCTATAATGTTTTGCCCTATATGTAAAGAGGAAATAGTTAAAACATCTTATTTAGAAAGTAGAAAAGTAGAAAAGCACTTTCTTTCCATACTTTATTCAAAAATGCCAAATCTCAGTCTTAATTGCTTAAAATGTGTCTAAATCAATCATGACAAGCTATCTTTGATCGGAAAAATAACTATCAACAATCTGACAAAATCAGAAAGCACTGAGAGCATTTTTTCATACACGTAGAACAAAAAATAGAAATTAATAACAATATCACATGAGATGTCTCCAAACATTTGGAAATTGAGCAACATATTTTTCAACAATTTCTCAACAACCTATCAGTCAAATAATTCTTTCAACTTTTCAGTAGGAAGAATAATCTAAAAAAGAATGAAGCTAAGTGAAAATAAACACAAAATATGTGGTCAGCAACTACCATAGTGTTACAATGTTTCCAGAACTGAATTCTCATATTAGATAAAAAGAAATTCTCAAATTAATTAAGTCTATTCTTTTCCCTTAAAAAAATAGAAAAGAGAGCGGCCAAATAACCCAGGAGTAATCACAAGGAAGATAAGCTTTAAAAATGAACGAAATTGAGAACAGAAAAATAGTACAGAAAAATCAATGATTCAGAAAGGTAGCTCATCTAAAACTAATAACAATGAGGAATGTCCAGCAAGACTGGCAAACATGGAGAAAAGACACAAATTACCATTAGTAGTAACAAAATGGCTATTGTCATCCTTCAACCATAGAGAGGATGCTAAGAGTATGTTTCAAATAACTATATTTACATATTTGAAAAATTTAGGGAAAAATATGAATCAATGCCTCAAAACAACCAACTGCCAAAATTTTGCCAAAATGAGACCCATAACTTGAATAGTCCTATACCAAATTGAAATTTTTCATGTGTTATTTAACTGCCCCCTTTGAAAAGTCAAGAAAAACACCTTAATTTACAGTCCAACCCGAGCTAACTTCAGCAGTGTTGTCATTTATTGCAACAAAGAGCTTGATTAGTACAGTAAAACTTTTACATCAGTGTTGTCTGCCTAAACACAAGGCCATCTGCTCCCTTATAAATTTGTATATTTGTAATTAGTGCATACTGAAATTTTGGGAAAGTTTTCCTTTAAAATAGCAATCAATACCTCTCCGTTTGCAGCCAAAAAAAAGTTTTAATTGCCTCCTTGGCCATTTCTCAGTATAATCTACTTATTAATCAATTCATTTAATCAGATTTACCCTCTGGTTTAAATGTTGAAAAATGCCTTCTTCAGAATTACAGTAATTGAACTGATTGATGTGTTTCTCATAGTTACTACACCTTTTCAAATCTGTTTATCAACTTAATGTTTTAGCTTAATTTAAATCACAAAAAGGACTGTTTATAAAATTAGGTGTTTAATATATTATGAGTTTGCTTAAGCAGAACCCTGTCAAAGAGAAAACAGAAACAAAAGCCTATTAAAATCTGTTTTGGCAATTCCATTCTGATTTGGACTTAGAGTTCTCCAGCGCAAATCTTAGTAATTATGATTACTTTCTACCAAATTAAGAAGAAATGACTTGTGAATTATATAATCTCTGTAAATGAAATTCCCAAATGAGATACCATGAAGTCTTCATTTACGGATCTATGATTCTCAGGATTTCCTCCTCTGCCAATGTGATTAAGCTCTTCGATGCAGCTGACATAAAACCTCATTGTACTTGGTTGACTGATAGATCAAGTGTTTCTCTGTCCTTATAACATAATGGCCCAGACAAAGCAGCCTGCTCCTGGGGCAATCGTGAATGAGACATTACAAGTGACAGGAGAAGGTGTTGGAATCTGAAAACCTTTGTGGACCTGTGGATTCTAATTTTGAAAAGGGTGATGGGATCAAATCACAGCCCTAGACACTTAGTTTTCTATGGCAGTGACTTTCTCTCCCACCCTCCTTCCCCTGCCACCATCCTTGGTTGTTCTTTTCAGCTCTCTAGGTTTCTGGACCAGCTCTGAATAAAACGGAGAACCATTCCTTGGAGTGGTCTCCGGAGTCTCCACCCACCTTCACTGGAAGGCTTCCCTCCCACCTAATACTCTTCCTCTATTCTTCCCCGCTGTGTTTGGCTCTTAGCAAGCTTTCAATTAATCCCTGCTGAGGTGTAAACTGATAACCAACGTGTTAACCCAAGTGTGAATCCTCTCTGGACCCTTTCAACGTGGTAAACAGGCTGTTTGAAAACCCAAATGTTCAGTTAAATGGAGTCGCTGACAGAAAAAAACTTCTCTGTGATTAGTTACATCACACTTGGTCGATTTTTACTCTCTTTACCAGCATGCACCATCTCTTGGCTTACACAATGGCAAGGAGGAAAGGTTTGGGAGGAAAGGTTTAAGGAGCTCTGCACTTAGATGAGCTGTGCTACATTAGGCCAGAGAGCACAAAGACTCGGAAGACACCCAAGGCAGGGCCCACCTCTGCTACCTGCAGAGCTTCAGACTGGCAATTCGACTGTAAGCCTTCTTGTACTGTCAGATCGCAAGCAAAATTATCTATCTTCGGAGGATTTTAAGATGAGCACAATTGTCAGTGGTATGTGTGGATGTGTGGATCGACACAGTCTAGAAAGCTCTGTCAGTTTGGTCACAGATTCTATAGACATGTTGAGACTGATCATGGAATCTATATCATCGATACCGATATAGTTGCCATATGGATAGGTATAAAGATATATAGTATATAGAGAGGTAAAGAGGTAAATAATGTAGATAGATTTCCATCTGTGTCCTTGTCACTGTTACTCTATATATGCACATACCATGTACATATAATGTATATCCTCTGACATGATACATAAAACATTCTCAGAATCTAAAGATGCCTATACACATGCAATGGGTGATGAAGGAAGGTGTGCTAGAACATCACTCTTCATCAAATTATAGATGGTTTTTGTAGCAGATAGCATGTATCTATTCAGAGCAAGGCTACAGATTGTAGAAGATCACCATTACTTCAAAATTGTACTGACTTCTGCATCAGGGCTTCATTTAAAGCACAATTTCTGTGCTTTCTCCATAGAAAAGAATGAAGTTTTCAGATAGGATGAGATATTTTTATGGAATTGAGAAGACACTACTCTTTGAATCTTTGAGTTGGGGGCAGGGTATAAAGACTGCAGGGCCTGGGAGAGGGAAACAGTGATGGTGGAGGATGGGCCTACCATGAATTTCTTAATGAAACAAAAAATGCAAATAAGCTGGGAGACAGGGTCAGGCTCCTTGGGACCAAGCAAAATAAATAAGTCCACGATATTATAAGTCATGTGCTGTAGGATGAAGCTTCTGTGAATTTTGTCTTTTTTTTCCCCCATGATGTGTTCCAACTTAAAAGAATTGGGGGAAATTGAGGAAAATACCTTCTTTGAACAGTAGCCATTATTTCCTTTCATTCGCATTACATCTAGTTCCGTGAATTTTAATTTTATATTTAAAACCGGAGATACACATTACGCATTGTTTGATGTCTCTTTTCAGAGCATTTGAAAACTGTCACACACACGTGTCATCTGAAGTTGAATGGAAGACATAGGCAGTCAGTATTGTTACTATTTAAACAGCTTTGAAGTTTTGCAAGCTACAAGGCATTTTTTTAAAGGTCATAGCTTTGACATGTAATTTTGGTGACCTATTAATAATTCTATTAAAGATACATACCATGATTGTAGTCTTTTAGCTTTCATAAATCTGTAGCCTAGATCTATCTGCAAGGTATACAGGAATCTTTGTAATCTAATGTCCTTCCAGTTTATTTCCAATATGCAGAAAGAACTATACACAGTCAAATATTTGGTCATGAAGAACAGCTGTAGTATTGAAGAGCAAAAATAATTTTTAGGGCTTCAAGTTTTCCATCTTATTTTGCAAGAGCGAGACATCGTAGCTTTATTGATTTATTTATTGAAGTGTACGATTTACGTCCCTAGAACATACAACAGAGAGGCCAAGGACATTTTGTTAAGAAGACCATGCTAAATGTGTGAGACTGAGGTGTATGTAAACACCCTGCCTGGTAATGATTCTGTCTCTAAAGAAGAAGGAGAAAATAAAGAGCGAGAAACTTCAGCCCTATAACCTCAAAGTTGATGCTGTGCACGAAGAGCAGAAGTCTATTCTCTGGACTTGAACGCTTTTCCAGGACCTGAGGAAGAGCCTTGCTTCTGGACTGGAGCTGAGTCCGGGTTTAAGAGATAGAAGTCCAGGTCATTCCATAAAGTTTTCCCCAGCTCCCATTCCCCACGTCTGCCTGGCCTGACTACCCTGAAACTAGCACCCCCAGGGAACCCGGCGGGATCACAGACTCTGTGTGAACCCCAAGAGCTGAGAGAGGGAGCAGGCGAACGTGAGAACCCCTTTCTTTGGGGGGGGTTAGCAGAGAGAGAGGTGGGGGGGGAGAAGGGGGAGGTGATCCTGGGCGAGCAGCTACCCATCCTCTCGGGCTCGCCTCCAGTCAGGCATCCACCGCGTCCCTGCCCACTGCGGCTTTGAATTCTGCGGGGGGGGGGGGGGGGGGGAGGCTGGGAGGGTGGAGGTGGGATGGGAGGGAGGAGGGGGAGGGCGGGGTGAGCCGAGGGGAGTCCGGGAGAGCTGACGATCTGAGCGCACGGCGGAGGAGGAGGGGGAGGGAGCAGGCGGGCGGGGGAGGGGAGGCGGGATGCGGGGAGCGCGGGGCGCGGGGCGCTGAGTGGACGGCTGAGACGGCGGCGCGAGCCGCAGCAGCGCCCGCGAGCCGCGCGTTGGCACAGCCGGGCTGCGTTGCCAGGCAGGAGCTGCGATCCCGGCGGCGCGGGCGCACAACAAGGTGCGGGGCCAGGAAGGCGGCTTTGTGCCTGCTGCGGGCGCGGGGGGGGGGGGGGTGCGGCTACTGCGGCGGGGGCTCCCTCTTTTGCACCCCTTCTTTCTCCCTTGGGTCCCTGGGTTTGGGGGGCGCAGGGGGGGATCTAGCCTGCAAGGATAGGATTCCCCCCACCTCCCCGCTGGCGTGCCAGCCTGTCTGCTCAGTCTGCCCCGGTGTTGCGGATGCATGCTTTCCAGGGGGACCCGCTCCCCTCCCGAGCTCGGTACCCCCTTCTTTGACTCTGCCCTGCCCCCCTGGCTGTGTCTCGCTCGCAGATGTTCAAGGTGTCGGCCGTGGTGTGTGTGTGTGTCGCGGCTTGGTGCGGTCAGGCGCTGGCGGCGGCCGTGGCGCTGGCCGCGGCCGGGGGGCGGTCGGACGGTGGTAATTTTCTGGATGATCAACAATGGCTCACCACCATCTCTCAGTATGACAAGGAAGTCGGACAGTGGAACAAATTCCGAGACGTAAGTGCTGCGCAGCCGTGTCCGTCCCCCCCCCCCCTTCCCTCTGCTCCGCGCGCGCTGGGGGTGTCGGGGGGGGTGTCTGCTCCCAGGCGGGTATCACCCAGCACCGCGGTCACGGGTGGGTGGGGAATGTGGGCTCGGTGCTCTTAGAAAAGAGGAATTTGGGGAGGGGGCTGATGAACCCCGCCACGGGAGAACTTAGCAGTTCTACTGTCGTTCCCCCCCCCCCCCCCCACTACCCCAATTCCTGACTGGCCTAAGACAGGACTTGCTGGCTGGATGCACAGGAGTTAGGTCACACCCGTTCCTGCTCTGCCTCCCCCCCCCGTACCCCCTGCCGGGCCCCCACAGTCTCCCCCGTCCTCCCCCGCTCCCACCCCACCCCGCTTCCAGGTTTGCAAAGTTCAGGCTTTCTGCCTTCGCAACTTTTGGAGGGTGTTTCTGGCCCTGGCGCACGCAGCCGATGTGCCTTTGCGCGTTGCCTTGTTCGAAAAGTAACGGCGATCGATCTGGTTCTGGGTGCTCCATTAAGGAATTGGAGAGAGGAGGGCTGGGGACGCGAGCGAGGAGAGGTAGACCTCTGCTGCCGGGCTGTGCCTCTCCACCCAGGCGGAACCAACCCGCTCCCGATTACATAAAACGACCCATCCGAGGAGCAGTTCAGCCTTAACTTGAGCCCAGAACGTGTCTAGCAATGCCTTGGATTACGTGTTCTCTCTTTTAAAAATAAATAAATAAAAAGAATCAGGGCTGTCAGAAATGCGGAGAGGGGTAAAGGTGGGGGGGGGGGGCGCATGCAGGTGCCCGCAGCGAAAGAGTTAACACGTAGAATCCCTTCGGAGTTTCTTAAAAAGGCGTTCAGGGGAACCGGTTTCTGGAGACTCGCAGCCAGTGGCCAGGCTCTGGGAGTCGTGTTTATTTTTCCCCTCTCATCGCACTGGACTCAGGCTAGGATCTGCCTGTGTCCAGAGCCCCGTTCATCTGCCTGCATTCAACTAGGTGGTTCGGAGGGGAGACCTCCGTGGCTGACGAGGGATGTCAGCCCACCCTGAAAAACCCAGCAGGACCGAAAGGGAGAGGCACAGATACAGTGCCAAACCTTGCAGTGACATTTGAGAGAATCTGTTAGGAGTCCATCTGCAGTGCACTAGATATGGACAAGCTAAGTTCCTTCATGAGCTCAGCCTGTCACGACTCGGGGAGATAAATGGCAGATAAATGGCAGCCTGGGCTACTTGTTCCCCCCCCCCCCCCCCCCCCGCCACACCCCACCCCCACTTTGTATTTGAACCTTCCTTTTCCCACCAACCCTTTATGAAGGAGCTAGCAAGCCAGATCCCTTAGAGGGATTCTTAAGCAAAGGTAAATTTATTGCAAATATAGACTGGAGCTTTTTAACACTTTGGAATGAGACATGAACAGAAAAAAAGAACTGTTAATAGTAATAGTTAATAGAGGACTTGGTCTTACATGCCTCATAAACAGCTTCAACAGCATTTTACTGCAAAATGAGTATTCATAGAAGCAAACCTTTGGCCTATTTATTTATTGTCATGTTAAGCGCAACCAAAAGTCAGCAAACACGTGAATGGTACTTGGAGAGAATTTCTGTTGACCATGCCATTACTTAGGAAAGATATGGAAAAATTAGTATTTGAGCCATGCTTCTCCTTTTGACATTATTTAATGACTACTTAGAAATCTTAAATATGTGTGTGTGTGTGTGTGTGTGTGTGTGTTGTGTGTGTTAGACTTTCCTCTCTAAAGTAAGTTTTTAATATTTAATATCTTAGTGTTGTCTGAATTTTTTAATTGCTTTGTTGAATTATTGAAAAGTGAGCAGCTGATACTTGGACAATATGCAAACATGTTTGATTTCAACCAAGCATTCTAGAAATCATGCGCTAACTTCTATGGAGAGTAGACTATTTTATCAGCTTAATATTTTTCAGGTACTTTTGCATCATCTCAGTAGCAAAGTTCATCAAAAACTGCATGGAAGTGTAAACAAATGATTTATTAAGATCCTTTAAGCCAATGCCGACCTTGAAGCATATGAAACAGACAAAATATAATGACTTATTTGAAAAAAAAAACTTCCATCAGGTTTGATAATTGGCTCTGTGGCCAGGCGATTCCGTCTTTGTAGATATGACATCTGGCAGGCATGGGGAAGAATACCACTACCATGCTGTTCCTTTTTATCCACCTGTTGCTCATTACTAACACAATGGGCTGTGGGCTGAGTGTGACCTCTCACATCATAATTCAGACTTCTTACTCAGACCATCCAACACATTGCTATGTTTACTTTCCCTATTTGCCGATCTTTATCTTACTCTTTATTTTGTAGCTTTCAGGATGTTATTTTTTTAGCTCATTTTTAGCTGGAAGCACATGATTGTAACGCATTACTTGAAATAAGACTGTATTACATGAATCTACCTATGAATGTTTTGCATGAGCATTTGTACCTAAAATAACAGACTTCACACTTGGTTTAAGAAAGCCAAGGGAAATTGCACCTGAAGCTCTTCTTGTAGAAATCACTTAATGAAAGAACTTTACTCCTTCTCTCATAAAAAATATAAGTATCATTTTTTAAAAAAGCATTAAAAAGCCTTAGGATGTATCAGTGTAAAAACTAATGGAAGTAATCCTTACTTTCTTGTAAAGGATTATTTTCTGAAATTGAAAATATTTTATTATGCATTCATTCATACTTGAAATAGGCCTTCTTTTAAATTATAATTGAAGACTACATTGACTATTACTTAGAAATGTAATTTATGAATACTTATATGACATAAATCATCTATTTCCAAATCAACATAAATATGTAAATATGTTTTCCTTATAATAAAGCTTTAGGAATGAGAGGCATGGATAGAAAAATTATGTGTGAGAAACCATTCCCTTGATAGTTCTTATTCTCATTTTCCTCAACCTAGATCAAGGAGACAATGAAAACAAGCACTTTTAAGATCTGAGATCTACTTTTTATTATTATATTCCAGGAAGTTGAAGTTTAAAGATTCAAAGTAGTTAATAGATTAAAAAATAAATATACTGGGGCTGGGAAGGTGGCTCAGTGGTAGAGCACTTGCCTTGCATGCATGAGGCCTGGGTTTGATTCCTCAGCACCACATAAGCAGAAAAAAATACTAGATAGAACTAACATATGGCATTCAGGGCATAATTATATGATTTGAAATAAAACAAGGTTGGGGGTATAGCTCAGTGGTAGAGCAAGTGCTTAGGATAAACCAGGCCCTAGATTCAATCTCCTGCCTGAAAACTGAATTTAATATTTAAAAATTAAAATAAAATCACTCAAGTCCCTTTCAACAATGTGACATTTTTAGCATATACATTACTTGCATGCTATTTTTTGTTTAGAACTGTTGGAGAATGACAAAACTAAGTAAAGAAGATTTCTCAGTGGGAGGATTTAGAGAGAATCAATACATTCTCCAAGAGCATGGCATAAAAGATTCCTTCATGCCATTCTTATAGATGTGTTTGGAGGATTTGTTATCAGGATCATTTTGATATCATTCAGATATCTCATAGATATTTTATATTTTGAACATTTATATTTTATATGTTCAAATAAACCTAAATGAACATAGAATTGGGAAAACAATACATTAATTGGTAACTTCTGATGTAATATACACTTTATTATTGATTTCACTGAAGTATATACATTGAATAAGAATGACAGAAATGATCAATTAAAATCCTCAAATACAATATATGTTGGAAGGAGAATATAAATATAAGAAAAAAACAAAAAGGAATGATTATGTCCATGGTAAATTCAATCAATCATATAATGAAATAAGTGTTGTGCCATTTTATTCAAAGGTGCAAGATTAGATTTGTTTTACCAAAATCAGTTTGAACCTTAAGGACTGGTTACCTTTAATGATTACCAGACAACTTGTGCTTGTATTCATTCCTCAAGTGATTTTTTTAAGGCATATATCTAATATCATGAAATAATTGCAGAAAGAGATTTGAATTCAACATGTGAAGTTATAAGAACACTGCATCTTGATCTCTGTTAGCCCTTCCATCATTCTCTTCCCATTCCCCACTAGTCTAATTCCTATCCATTCTGTCAGGTTTTCATCTTACATTTTCCCACATGAACATTGAGTGTTATGCTTGTATTTACCCATCATTCCTCTCTCTAGTTATTCATCCTCCTTACCTTAACTCTCACCCCATTCAGAACAGATGTTTTGGTTTCCTAGTATTTATTTTGTTAAAGTGTCTGTTAATTGTTCAAAGGGGTTACACCATAGAAATCCAGTTCTGTTTATCTTGTTCTTTAGTCAGTTTTTTACTATGTATATATGAACATGATCCTGAATGAATTTTCATATGTTTATGTTTAAGATCTAACATGAAAGAATACCCATCCTTTATCTCTGAGCTTGACTTATTTCACTTAGTATAATTTTTCCAGGTTCATCTATTTCCCTAAAATAACATACTATTTATTTATCAATCAGTCAACAAACCTATCTATCTATCTATGTATGCACATTTTGATCCATTCATCCATTTCCATAACTTGACTATTGTGAACTGTGCTATGCTAAACATGGGTGCTCAGGTACATTTGTTGTATCCTGCCACAGTTTTTACTTAAATTGTATTTTTATTGTCATTAAATAATTGTACAAAAAGATTACCATTGACCATATCTGTTTTTAAGTAAAATAAATCCTACTTAACATCTCTTCTTCCATCATTTTCCCTCTATCCCTCCCAACTCCCCTCAATTTTCCTATAGGATATACATTGAAAGCATCTGCTTTCTCTATTCATTTGTCAAGTGGCATCCACTCTTGCAGAAAAATCCCCAAGGGTGGTATTTCTGTGATAACTATGTTTAGTGTTTTAAAAACTTCCATACTGATTTCCATAGTTGTTGCACTAGTTTACATTCCTACCAATATTTATTAGGGTTCCTATTTCTCCCACAT